CCTCCCCCTCCGCGCCCTCTCCTCCTGCCGTGCCATGAACTGTCTCTCCTCCTCAATGCCTCTCCACCATGCTGCCCTGTCTTGGAGCCAGATGACTGTGGATTGAAACCTCTACAACCTGTGAGCCAAAACGAACCTGTCCTCCTTTAAATTGTGAGTGTTGGGTATTGCGTCTTAGTGGTGAGGAAGTAACTAAGACCCAGGACTGTCCCTCCTTTTCCCTGGCTTTGGCTGTCGCTCTCCCCTAAGTCCCTGCCTGATTTTCCTTCTGTTCTTCTCTCTCCCTTTGTCCTCAGTCTTTGTTCATGTGCCCACATCAAATCTAGCCAGGGTCAATCATCCAGTTAATGCCATTAAAATATGTAAGAGAGGGGTCTACATAGAGAATATTTCACTACAGTTATTTTCATTAATTTTTTTTTTTACAAAGAAAAGTTCTGATTGATTTTTAAACTACAGACCATTAAACCAGTGGTTCTAGGCTTAATTGCTTGACTACAGTATCAGATATGTCATTAAATCACTTATTAAGAGTGATTCCCCATTTGATCTCTGAACAAAATTTCCTCTTTCTTAGACTGTGGAGGTGACTGCCATTTGAATAGAAGATTAATGATGATATTTCATGCTCATATTTTTCTTTTATTGACTTTCACGTTTCGTTTTACTTCTTTTCACTCCAGCTGGAGGAGACACTTTCAGGAAGAAAGTCTTTTCCAAGGTTACCCTGTGTTTATGGAAACATTGTTTTCTTCCTTTTCAGTAATTTTAAATAATTGCCACTTTGCCAACTGTATAATTTGTTTGAATTATTTTAAGCAATTTCTCATAATTCTGCTAATGGACATATCTGGAGAAAACTATGTTCTTTCCTTTCCTAGAACTCCTTCCTAGGGAGTTCAACATAAAAGTTAGGAGATGTTTTCTTTCTGCCCACTACTTTATTCTGGAATCTCCACCCTTGTAGATTTTTACCTCCTTGGTTTCCAGTGAAACAGTCAAAGCCAGATGTGATGACTTAAGCTTGTTGACTTAGGATGGCAGGAAAGAGATGGGTATGAGTCATCAAGACACACTTGAATTAAAATTCCAGCTTAGCCTGTACCTTTGATGGCCTGGACAAGTCACTTCCTGCCTGATAAATCTCTAAATCTCAACAAACTGGAGTTGGCATTTAAGTCACATAACTCATGTAAGGCACTGCATTGATTTGAAACTTGAACCATTCTTTTGTTTTGATTGTAAGGAGTTTCTTTGGGTGCATGCAGCAGTGCAAACATTAATACCGCTGTGCCTGCCATCTGCCTCAGCTCTTCTCTTTCTCCTCCTATATGAGTCTCTTCCGACAAGTCACACTGCATTCATTAGTCTGCTTTTTGTTGCTGGAACAAAATACCTGACATAGATAACTTAAAGGAGAGGAAAGGTTTGTTTTGGCTCACACTTTCAGAGGTTTCAGTCCATCGTCCGCTCCATGGCAGAAATATCATGACAGGGCATAGAAGAGGAAAACTACTCATCTCATGGCAGTTGGGAAACAGCATGATAAAGAGCCCAAGAAAAGATACACCTTTCAAAGTCATGACCCCCAGTAACCATCTTCCCCCTGCTAGTCCCACCTTATACTAGCCCATTCAGCTATGAACTTGTTAATGGGCTGATCAGCGACGAGGTTAACACACTCACAGTGCAGTCACCTCTCTGGGTATCTCTTAATCCGATCATGTTGACATCAAGATTAACCATCACACATTCCATGCCTCAGTTTCTCCATCTGTAAAATGGAAATTGTGAGAATTAAATGAGTCAAAAGTAAAGTGCATAAAATAAGGCATGACTCCTAAGTGCACAAGGAAAGGTTAGATCTCACACAGGACCTTGAGTACACTGTTTTCATGTCCTCACAAACAAATACAGGCTATGGAACTGCTGCTCATCTCGCCAAGATGGAGATTAAACCCCCATGGGTGGTGATGTTGATGAATTTCTATGTTATTTGGGGAGGTCAGGTACTGTGATGTTCCCCTTGACCCACCTTCATCACCAACCTTTTTCACGGAAGAGCCTCATTTTCTGAAGAAGTCACATTGTTCCTTTGGCATATAACCAGCTTCTGGTCATCTGACTCCTAAACGTCTCTCCAGTTGCCAATCAACTTCAGACTTTGCAGTGAAGCCCTTTGGGACCTGGCCATACAAGGAAGCTCTGAGCCCTCTCTCCATCTCTTTGTAGCTACTTGCTTTCAGTCTGCAGGGCCTGTCTGTGAGTGGGAAGTAGAATTCAGACGTGTTGTTTCTTGAAGAAAAGAGTATCATTGCACCGGAAAGACTTAAACCAAATCTCAAAATAGTTTGTTAGAGAAAGCATGACCGTCCTGCTATGGGCTCATTTACAGCAAATGCTGTTGCAAAGTGGCACATGAAAGAGACGGCAAGTGCTGTTCCTGCTGTCTGTCTCCGCTAGAGAGACGGGATGAATGAGAAGAGCATCAACATTTCACAGCACCTTATCTCACAAAGACAGCAAAACCCTGACTTCTTAACGACCCCTGGGAGCCATTGGCTATGGTGAATCGAGAAAATAATTTATTAGTATGATGTATGTTTTCTTAGCTTCTAATGATACATAAATTATCCCATGAGCCATGATACATATGGTTTAAAGAGAATTTTAAATGAAAGCAATTTTTTTTTAGCAACACTAATTGCCAAGCAGCGGTAAATTACTCATCCCCTGCTGCCTGTGGGTTGTGGCCATTACTCCCTCCTTGAGGTTGAGCAGTTTCCCCCCAAGAGGAGTGTTTGCTCTGACAGTGTGAATTTATATGCTCACTGTGAGCCCGCCATGCCAGTTCTACAGAAGCAGAGGGTATTAATAAAGCCTTTTGGACTCTGCATAGTGTGTTGTGTCTTCCTGCATGTGTTATTTTTGATGACAGAATGACGAAGTTTGGTTTTAGCTCTTGGTTTGCCTGTTGGGAGAAAAATCAGAGTGCTGCTGTCAATATTCAGTCTTCTCCAGCTGTGAGGTTTAAGGGACATTTCCCAGGTGTCAAGCAAAGGGAGTGATAAGTATCAATTTTCAAAATACTAAATAACTACATGAGGTGTAGGAGGAATATGGTGGTGCTATGAAAAACAGCGGATTCAACATGCGTTTGTTGATTTCCAGGGCTATGCTAGGTGCTAAGCATGCAGGGAATAAATGACAGGATCTCTGGGTCTAGTGTGAAAGAGGACCATGTACAAAGCGAGGTTAGTACAAGGTCAGCCCCAGGAGCCAGACTGTGCTAGAACGGAAACACTTGGAGGATACATTGTATCGAATCAGTCCTGGTGTGCGTGTGGGGGGAACACAAGGGCGAAAGCTTGGACATGTGAGGGAGAACTTGGTCACTTAGGAGAACTATGCTTTGGAGTGGTCAGAATATAGGTTGTATTTGGGGAATATGATAGAAGACATGACTAGGAAGGGCAGGGCCATAAGGACTGCGCGTGCTCTGAGAGGGCCTGTGATCTAGGAGCTACATGAGCAGCAAAAGAACCGAAGG